AACCACCCAGTCTGCTACCTGAGTAGGCGGCACTGTGGAGTATTTCAATTCCTGTTGATCCTTTAATCTGGCTGTAGAGCACAGCAGGAAAAGGTAGATGTGGGAGAGAAACAAAGAGGGGTTATCTGAGGGGCAGGGCCTTCCAAAGGAGGCTCTCTCTGAAATGAACCCTGGTGGTACTAGCTGCTGATTTATTTGTGGCACAAATTCCTTCCAGTGCAGCAAACATTCTTCACAGGGTACTTCTCCCTCATACATGGCAGATAATTTTGTGAATTTTGTAAACTCAGCAATATGTTCAGCACATTCTTTTCCAGAAACAATTTAAAAAGTAACAGCTTCTCCCTCCACACGATGTTGTGACACATATTGTGTCACATTGTCCTTTTCTACTAAACTCAAATTTCAGCTGTTGCAGTAAGAGAGCCTCAAATTGTTTTTACAGCAGAACCTCACTGCTTGGAGGCTTTCTACCTCAAATTATTTTATTGCTCCTCAGACCACATCACATCAAGAATGTTTTTGTTCCATTCATGTGCTTCAAAAACATTCTTCTTCTTCATTTGTCATATGTCAGAATATTCCTTCTCAGTGAAAAACCTGAATAATAGATCTGAGAAATAAGTGAAGACACTCCGGGGCAGCATCATATTCTGCCCTTCCCTTTGGATTTTGCACTGTGGATGTAGTGTCCTGGCTTGGTCCCTTTCTTGCCCACCCCCATCCTGCTTGCTGACAGGACAATGTGAGCAGCAATAAAGGCATTGACACTTTGCAAGTGCTGTTCAGCAATAATTAACACATCCCTGTATTAGCAACACCATTCTGGTCATAAATGAAAAGCAGCACCACAGGAGCTTTACGAAGAAAATTAATTCTATCCCAACCAAAGCCAGTACAGTGGGATGCCAGACTGCACTGCAAGTTATCAGTGGGATTTGTAGAAAGGGGATCACAATAAAGGGGTGAAATCTTTGGTAAATGATACACTGAAATACCTCTTTTAAGTGTGTTAGTTGGTGTCTTGAAAGTCCATGATTTTTTAGCAGAATGTTTTATAAATATCTCCTTCAAAATACTTAATCCTTAAACAAACAACTATACTTCTATTCTGACCTGGATTAATTCACAAATTTTATGATGGATGCTTTCCCAGCTCCTGTTACTGTATGTTGTGTTATTGCACTTGTATCTTTTAATTTGATAGTGGTTTGCAGGATTTTTCTTGAATTTGAAAGGAGAAGAATATAATGAAAAATTGTGAAGATTTAAAGTTAAGTTTTTTTCTTATTTTAACCCTGTCTTTTAAAAAAAATTATCCTGAGTGTCTCATGAGTATTTTGAACTAATCTTTTGAAGTAACACAAGCAGAGTGAGCCAAGTAATTTATCAGAGTTTATAATGACAGTTGTTTCTATTCAAGTTGCAAGGGGAATTTTCATGTATGTTTGAATTTTGTTCATTTCCATTCTATCTTCCCTTTCTTCAATAAGTGCATCCTAACAAACATCAATGGTGTTGTAAGGTCAATCTGTTTGGACTTGCTTCACATGGTATCAAATATTTAAATGCTCATTAATTCAAAGAACAGGGCTGTGAGAATGACCCCTGTGCTCCTCGTTCAGGACATGTCCTTGAGATCTGTTCCAGCTTGTTTACCTCCTGTAGTAGGGACTTCATCTACCCCAGGTGACAGCCATTTATCCAAAATTCAGGAAGCTCAACTACTAACCAATTCCACTAGCACCACCTGGAAAAGGGTATTTGAAGAATATTTTTACCCATCTGACACTAAGTTTAATTTGCTTGCTTGCTTTAAGAGATGCCTGAAAAACCTCACACAGAACCCTGGCTGATATGGTTTAGTTTGTTTGTGTTAGGGAAAATATTTTATTCCAGTAAGGCAGAGTATAGGGAGTTCCAAATTACCAGGACTATGAAAAATCAAATATTTGTATGGATCTGTATTTCATCTCTCCCACCTCTTTCCCACAAAACCACGGTAGGATGGATGACAAGGAAATTTTTCATTAGCAGGTCTATTATTTTGACAGTACTTCTCCTGGGGTTTTGACTCAAAAGGGATGTGAGAGGCTTCCTGTCTTTTCAGCTGTTGAAAAAATCAAGCTTGCTGTTTACAGAAGAGTAACACATAAATGATAATAAATAACAAAACAGGGCACACAGGGTAAATCTGCCCATCAGTACTAGCTGTGCCACTGACAGGTGTGTGATAGATCAGGTGAGATGCATCACCTGGGAGATGCAATTTCGCTCCATCTAAAAGCTGATGCTGTGAATTTATAATTCCTTCTAGTTGAAACCTCTGCTGTTAATCTTATTTTTAAGAAAGAAGTAATTGGTAATATTTAGATAATAATAATAATAATAATAATAATAATAATAATAATAATAATAATAATAATAATAATAATAATAATAATAATAATAATGTTGTGAATCTGCCTTAGAGAGGGACCTAAGAGCTTTTTGTAAGGGAAAGAAATCTAGGCAAGCAAGGATGGCATCAGCTTGACTAGAGTGAGTGGCAAGAAAAGGTGGCAAAAACACCCAGCTGGGATGGAGGTTGTCCTGAGCTGTCACAGCTCTGCCTCTGGTACCCAGCCCAGGGTTTGTGCCCTCCTGCTGTGCAGTGCCATGTCACTGCCACTCAGCTAGTCCCAGCAGTTCAGTCTACCACCACCCCATGTCCCACAGCTTTTGGGGAGGCTGGATTCAAGGCCTGAGGGGGACCCATCAGCTGGTACCTGCACTGTCTGCTCAAACTCCTGCTCTCCCCCAGGGTTTAAACTTCAGCCATGCTCCAAAGATCTTGGATAATCATTAGCCAGGGAATCAATGCTGTTTTTTGCGTAAGCATTGTGAGGTGATATCTCTGAGTTCTATTTGCTCTAGCAAATAACAGATAACAGATCTAAGAGAAATAGTCTGATGAAACATTTGAAACGTAGGTCAGAAAACAGCTTGGAGCTGAGGTGGGAAGGCTATAAACCCTCCTGCTTCCCCAGCACCAAGTAGAACAAACTTTTCCATGTGGTTTTCTCCCAGCATGTCCACAGCACCTTCTGAATGCACTCCTACTGTATGGCTGAAGACACCTTCTGTTATATATTTCAATGAAATGAGTCTCAGGGCAATTTTAAAACCGGTGCTACCACTCCATACACATCACTATCTATCTAGTGAACTAAATAGAGGGAACATCTGCACAGTGTGAATCCCTCTCTCCCTGGGCTTCCCTATCTAATACAAGATAATGTTGGAAGTTTCACCATTTGGCATGTAAAAAAATTTGCTTAGAATTACGTAAAAATACAATTTTCACCTGTGAGCCCCATTGTTATGCCCCCTTTCATTATAGCATCCGTGGCTCCATGAATGGGTAGCTGTAGAAATGACAATTTCCCCACATACCAGCCTCACACAATAGGGAACAGGTATCCAGCTCTGCATTTGAATTTTGGCTGCCAGGGTGCTGAGCAATATGATGTGCTGGGGAGACATGACCACCTGCAGTGCTGGGTCCTGGGGTGCAAAAATAGGAGCTGGTGACTGCAACCGCTTTGTGTGGTTCAAGAATCACACTGGCTACATTTGTGCAGTTGCTTCCTGGAAGTGACTCTCACCAGCCACATCAGAGGGTTGGGGCACTGGGCATGGCTTATTGGGCAATCAGGGTTCTGCCCCCCATCATTTTTTTTTTTTTTTTTTATTCAGTGAGTGCTGTCTATTCAAGGAAAGCATTTCTCCTCATCCAGTCATTTCAATCCATCGTTTTGCCTCAGGTGAATGCTGTCCTGTTACAACCTGATGCCAAGGCAAGCCGGGAGAGCCCAGCTCATGCCAAAAGTCCTTGTCATCCAGTATCCCATCTTTGTAGCAGCAGCCACCCAAAAATGCCTGTGGAAGGAGGTTTTCTTAACAGGGCTCTCAGCTTTTTCTATGTCTGGAAGCCATTTCTGTGTGTTCAGTAACCCCCAAAATAAAAGCCGTCTTGAAACTGTGCAAATTCTATGTGCTTTGACAGCCTGCACTAGCAGCAGAGGGAGGCCAACCTTCCTGCACATAAGGTAAGAAGGACAGGTGGCTGTCAATGCACTTTTTACTCCCTGGAAGCTCAAAGGCCACCAGGGAGGAGAAGGGGCCAGCACAGGAGACAGGCAGCACCACCAACTCCACCACTGCAGCACATGCTGAAGGAGTGATGCATTTTTGAGATGCCTCAGGGCCATAAACACTTACCATCACTCTTGCAGGGATGGCAGCTGAGTTACTTAACTTTTTAAAAACTGATTTACTGCTGATAACTCTGACAAGCTTTAAACCTTTGACTGTGGACTCATGGTCAAATTCCCAAGAAAGAATGGAGCCTGGAAAAAATTGTACTGTCTTGCGAAGTTTAACCTAGCTCCAACTAGACACTGAGGGATGACAGAAATACCTCCTTGTGGGTATGCAGGACACAGGCTACATCCCTGTTGTGGCAGACTGCCTCATACTCACAGATCCAACATACTTAGCAAGGACTCACAGGTAACATAAATCACAGAAGAGCAACATGGATATAATCCCTGTCATGCTGGCATTTCAGCATAACTGTGCTCTATTATTCTTAGATAAGAAAATTACAGACTTTGCTTTTACTTTTGAAGTCACAACAAGGCATCCCTCACAAAGATAAATGTCTGTGGCTAGTTCCCCTCTCGAGGTTATCTAGTAGTCAGATGCTAACCAGGAACTTCCATTAATTTGGCTCTGTACATTCCTCCCACCAGTCACTATCGTTTACAAAACACAGCTCCATTAGAAGTGAGTGGCTTAATCTGATGGATGTTCTGCCAGCATTAACACATGCTGATATGCTGATAGCAGCTGCAGCCTTGGTACAAGACTAAGTCAAATAATGGAGACTCTTAAAGTTTGAATAGATTCCTTAAGGCTCTAAAGGAATCTATTTAAATAGACTCTTTACAAGCAGATCTGTGAAAGAAGTTTATTTACAAACATTACACTCTTACATCTCTTCTGGATGTTAACAGCTCCATGTTGTAACACGTTATAAAACCGAGACTGTTTTATGCCATGTTGTCTGGAAGCATAAAACTGATTTGAAGGATTTGCCCCAAAGCCCAGTAAATCTACAGAGGGGATGCTGTTCTCTTGCATCGAGTCACAAAATTTAGTGCACTTAACCACTAAGGCAGAATTCACATTTTTGTCAGAATCTTTGTTATAGCAGGACACCAATTTTTTTTACATCTGTATCTTTCAGATATTCCTTGAGGCTGTTTGGGAAATCTCAGTCCTCATTCCATCTTTAAACTCTTTATTTGCAGTAGGAAAGCCAGTGTTTTCACTGGGGTAGCTGTTTGAATGAAGAACTAAAAAAATACAGTAGAATTCTTTATTTTAAGACTGCATAAACCCACAAAGATACTCTATTAGAAAGTCAGAAAAGTGGTGACCACTTGGAACTGCAGGCTGACTCAGAAATAAATACATGTATTTTAAAAACATAGTGTAAGAGATAAATAACCAATAGGTCCAACCAAGCAGGGAGTCTGATATGTCTGGAAACATACTACTCCACTTAATGTAATGACCCATCTGTCATGGTTGAGCACAGCAATGGTACCAAATTTATGTATTTATGTCTTTAAAGCAACTTTTGCTGTTAGTAAAACTAAACACACTGAGAGCATTTCTAGTCAAAGGTAAACCACATAAGTGGAAAAAATAATGCTGCAGATGCAGGAAAATTCCAGGAGATGGAGACAACCTGAAAGTTCTGCAAGTCCACAAAACCAGAATTTGCAGTACCTTTTGACCATCTTGCTGATTTCACAGGTAGGAGATAAAAAACCTACCTATGCCTCATTGAAAATACTTCTACTCTAAGAAAACTTATGGAGTGTAAGACATTTTTTCTTGTATAAAATTAACTTCAGAATGTTCCAAATGGCATACAAATATCTACACGTACACATATACGTACTGCCAAACAGTGCAGTACTCTCTCCTGCTTTTACCACATAAACTTCAAGAAAAGCAAAGCAGAGCTAAAGGGAGCTTCCTCTTGTCTTGTCACAGCCAAGGGAAGCTGTCATTACACAGCACTTCATCAGCCACTCGAGCTCTGGTACTGAAACTAGTGGAACCTCACACACACAAGGCTGATTTCTGTGTCTGTGTGTTGACAGACACAATTCCAAATACCAAATTGCATCTGTCAGTCATATCCTATGGATGTCCAAGGGCCATAAGCTTTGCTGACAAAGCCACTGGCTGAATCTGGCTCTAAGGCTAAGGTAAGCCTTGGCTGATTCTCATAAGTTGAATAAAGTGGAAAATATAACAATGCAAATGCTTACTTGTCCATGCCAGCGTAGACCCACACCAAGTAATGGAACTGTTAGATTGAGGTAATAAAAAATTGCAGTTCTCAGCTTTTTTGCTACTTGCTCTCTAACTTCTGTGGTAACATGCAAGTATTGATTGCTTATGTTACAAATTCTGATAACCTGAAATTGTGACATCCCTTCAGGAGATCAACACACCACTGCAGGCATACTAGCTTTGGTGGCCTGGGCTTCTCAGGAAGATTTTTTAGCAAGGCTCTGGGGGAGCTGCCAGGGCCCGCAACACAATGGCAAACACATAATGAGAAACTGACTCCCCACACACGAGGACTTCAGATACACTCAATAGCAGTTCAAAAACTTTACTTGTGCTTTGCAGGTTGCTATCCATCACTAGATTGGAGACTTTTTCCTGTTTTCCCAAAATTATGCAGCTCTGGTTATGTGGCATTCTTACACCATCTGTACAATAAAAAGCAGTAACAAAAAAAAGTATTTCCCACATCTTTCCACTTCAAAAGCATCCCTGCCAATATAGCTTAACACCAGATTTCCTTACTTGCTTCCTGGTCATATATTCCATATTTATACAAACTAGTGCAAATGAGAGCATTTGTCATTCTGGAAGCTCCAGCAAATTTGGATCTCATGGAAAAGGCTGAGGCAGGATGCATACAGACAGAAGGATGCTGGACACTGCCATCCCAGCAAGGAGCCAGGCTATGAGCGAGTGTACTGCACTGTGCTGTGTTTGGTGACCCTGGAAGACTTGCTCAGTGTGGCACTGGCAGGAGTCCCTTGTAAGTCAGAGCCCATCAGGTTAAGTGGGGAGTCTGTGATTAGAGCATGCTCTTGCCTTCCTGAGCTGGCACCTGGTGCCTGCTCAGCTCTGCTTTGCAGCCCTGAGGCTGTCACCACCCTTTCACTCAGCACCGTGCTGCGTTCCTCTGTCGAAGCAGGGAAGCTGAGTGAGCCCTGCTCTGCAGCAGCAGGCACAAGCACCCTCTCTCGCTCCCTCACCACGACATACTGTGAGTCAGGGAGATCCTGAACTGTCAGGGCTCCTGGCCCTGCACCTGCCGACTTCACCATCCTCTCTGTAACCACCACGTTACCTCCGTGTGGCAGATCAGGGATTTTCACCATCCCCTGAATGCTTGATGCAGGTGCCAGCACTCTCTCTGTCACCACTACGTTCTCCTTAATCTGGGGATCTAAAAAGAGAGGGGCAGAGCGGGCAGGAGCCCCCACAGAATAGGATGTTTCCGTCATGGTGACACTGCTCTCTGCGTGGCATGTGGGGAGGTGCCGGGCATTGTGCTGCCCAGAAGGGGATGATGAAAAGGTTGTTTCTGTGACCACCTCCTTGGACAGGGTGCTTTCTCCTGTGCCACTGCCTGTGTGGATGGACTGGAAGCCACTGCCTGAGGAAAAGGCTTGTTCAGAGGTGGAAACATTTTGTTGATCTAAGAACTGTGACTTTGCTTCACTAAGACCAAAACCAGATTCATTCTTGTAGCCACCGTCTTTCATGTTGATCTGTCTACCTATACATATTTCTGCTAGAGTCTTAAACTTGTCTCCTAAATCATCAAGAAAATGGTCATCAAGATCCCCCTCAATAAAGCTGCAGCAGCCAACGGAGCCATGAGGGGAGCCTGATTCTCCCTGGGAATAAACCAGGAGACAGTCTTTTGCAGCTTGCTCTTCATCTTCATCAGCAAAAGAGACAGCTTTCTGCAGACAGAAAATAAAAGCAAACAAAAGTTCATTAATGCCAGCTCTAGACTTAGTAATTTTGAAAAATCATAAATGCTTGGACAAAAAGATTGAAATAAAAAATTTAATTGATCCCACAGAAACTGTCAACCAAGCAAGGGCAATACCTGTTTTTTTTTTTTTTCTTTTTTAAAATTAGTCTGAACTTGACAGTACACTCGATGAGAAGAAAAATCTGAGATTATATTTAAAACCTTGGATACCATCACCACCTGCTGCTGTTCCTTCCAGTAAATCTGCCATTTGTGATACTCCTCTATATTCATGAAGAAATTATTTTTAGTTCAGTGAATGAACTTCACCTCTAAGTAGGTTTTTGTGGGAGAACACCAAGACCATTTCTGAGAGTATCCTAACATTTAAAGAACCATTTACTGAGTACATGCTGACATATCACCTACCATGGCCCTTTTCACTAGCACAGACTACAGGATCACATCCAAGATGACCAACAGGAAACAAATCAAAAAGTTGAATGGATTGGTAAAGCATGGGTGAATAGTCCATCATGTAAATTCTTAGGCTCTATGCAGGCCACCTGGCAACAAGGAGGGTTCATGAGTTCTGGCTACAGCTCCATCTGAAAGCAGTGTCTACCATGGACAAATATCTGTGTATGTGTTTGCATCAGCTCCAGTTCCAAAAGTGAAGGCAGCCAAATCCTTTGGGCCTGCTGAACCAGCTTTATGTAATATGTCTCCTGGCTGGTCCTCAGAACCACCTTTCTGCCACATTTGAAGTTCCGGACTGGAAATTAGCTCAGGCATCTGTGCAATGTGCTACACATCAAGACCCAATTTGACTCTGCCCATTTATCTGCACTTGATTCTGGAAGCAGGCACACAACCCAAGATTCTGCCACAAAAAATCAGCAGCTGAAACTATATGGTTTGGTTACTTGACTGTTTCCTCATTCCTAATCTGAGATATTTTAGCCTCCCGGAAGTTGTATGGATACTAAGTATGATTTCCCTCTTGCAGACTTCATCAGGCAGTTATGCTTGAAGTATGCCACAAAGAGTGGAAGAAAAGAAGATTGCTACTGTTGCATCTGTTCACCCAGGAGGCCAGTAGCTAGAGCACTCTGAGACATACAAGTACTTAAAGCTCAAATCCTTCCCTGGCCTGAGGTGGTGATTCAAATCTGCACAGCTACTCCCCTGCAAAACCACATCATCTGCCAGCTGTAGGGTGTGAAGACGTTTTGTTTGTACAGGTGATGGTGCATGGCAGTCAGACTTTCACTACAAGGAGCTCACCAGCCAAAGGACTAAGGATGAGCGTAACATGAAGAGAAACAGCTTCAACAAGTAGGAACAACCTACTGGCCAATGGTTAGGTTAGTAAAAAAAAAAAAAAAGGGGGGATTGCGACATATGCCTCATACACTTTTGATGAATGGCCCTTTACCCAGGCTGCTGGGCAAACAGACAAGTCAGCACCACTTACTGCATCAGCTACTTTGAAAATACAGCCCCACCCACTGGTGTATGACATCTTTTGCTTATCTTTCAAAAACCTGCTCCGTGGTAAATTTTGGAGCTGTGACACATGATGAGTCACAGGTGCCTCCCTAGAGACCAGTTTCATGTTCTTAAGTCCCTGAGATTTAGATCACAGAGTCTTTCTCAGGGCTTTTTCCTGGACAAGGCGCTCCTTTGCTATTGCTGAATATTCTGGATCCCATCCACAAACACCTTCCTTGAGAGAAGGGTCTATTTGTGTGACATCCTGCAAGCATTCAGTGCTAGAAGACGGAGCATTGTCACACTCCAAGTCCCCACGTGTGTGGCTAATCCAAAAATCCTTAATGCCCCCAACTCCACAGGCACAATATCAGGACTGTTTATATCTGCATATCTACTCATCTCTGTCAGTCATAACATGAATGATATTTTACAATGCTAAGCGTAAACGTCAAAATACTGTTATTTTTGGGTCATATGCTTACATCGTTGAAGTAGTCTCTTAAGAATTCTTCATTCATGGCTCCTGCTGCTCCCACAGCAACTCCTCCTCCAGACACCATTGTCTTGCCGTCTACACCTGCCATGCCTTCAGCTGCCATGGCTCCATAGTCGGCAGCAGAAAGAAGACGCCTTTGCTCTTCCCATCTTTCCCTGGTAACAGTGTTGTGATGCTCTCCTACGTGAGAGGCAGAGCTGCCTGCTCCTATTAGAGCTTCTTCTCCACTCATTCCTCCTGCTGCTGCTGCTGTTGTTGTTGTTCCTCCTTTCAAGTTCCCAAGTGCAGTGGGTGGAATGAAGCTTAGCACTGGCTACATAAATAAGACAAATTAAGATGTGACATGAAAGCTTTGCTGTCTAGCACATGGAACTCACCAAACCAGCAGTGGGGCTGGGTGGGAACAGGGAGGGTGCTGTCTTACGACTTGTTTGAATTTGCACTTATACATGTTGCTGCAAAGAGTAAAAGGCCTCCTAAAAAAGGGTGCAGCTTCCACAAATGTATTGCCAAAAAGGTTCATGGAAATGTTTCTATAGATCATTGTTTTCTTGAAACTCAGAGGATTGAAAATGAAAAAAAAATCCCTACCAAAAATTCCCATCAAAAAAAGGCTTGCAAAACTCTAGGGAGCTCAGCTGTTCCAAGAAAAACTGCCCAGTTTTCCTCAGACACAAAGCAGGGAAGTATGCGCTGCCTGCCACCTCTGTGGTGCTGTCCGGCCCTTTCTTTTTTCCTAGCAGTTTGGCTTCCTTGTTAATTATCTTTTAACAAGAATTTGGTGTGAGCATTGGCCCCAAATCAAAGACTTTTTCCTCCTGTTTCTGTTATTGTGCAAAAGCATGTCAGTGTCATGCCCTTTTTTTGAAAGCCCTGTTTTGTAGCATAACAACAAAGAGCAAATTTCTCTTGGCATTTACTGTTCCCTCTGCAGATTTTCACCTTTTTCTGCCATTTTCTTTTTTACTAAGGAATTTTCTCTGTTTAAAAAAGAAAATACAAAAGGAAGTAATTTAAAACAGTCTGAAACTTTAAACCAATGACGGGAAGCTCAGCATTACAACCCATTTTTTTCGGCTTTATCATGCTCCCAAAGGGGTGCAGAGCATTCCAGGCTTGCAAATGCAAATGGTTCACTCTCTATTGGTTCAATGAGATATCTTCTGCACAGATATGATCAACATTTGCTTGATTGCTTTCCCTATATTTTGGGATTTAAGTGCTATGGTTGCTTTTTTCTACAGCTGCTGGTAGAAGTCATCTCCCACACATCCTTTGCTGAGCCTCACAGGGTTAATTTTAATTAATGTTGATGTGCTGTTAAAATATGTTGTAGAGCTTTGAAATATCCATCTGTAGTGTGGAAGGGGCCCCAGGTGCCAAACTGAATACTGAGATAGAAATCAGAGAAGGGCTATTAGAGATACATGCCTTCTCCTCAGGAGCTGCTCCTTCACTGTTCCACTGACGCAACATGGCTTCACTGTGGTCTGGTATTTCAGCAAACGTCTTTGCTCCACCAAATCCCTTTGCTCCCAAGCCACCAGGACACAGCAGCAGTAAGAGTGGAACAACTGCAGGGAAACAGAAGGTTGCCATTAACGTGTGGTTATTAGGACCTTAGCATACTTACAGCCACTGTAAGTTTGGCCAGCTCCCATACTCAAATGTGTTTTCAAGGAGCTTGTGATCAGGATGAGGGCTGGGAATGAGTGAAGACAGGATCCTAAATATCCAAGGCATTTCCTAGAGAGCAAGCTGACAACTAACACATCAGGGACTGGTGGCCACACATGTATGTAGCTATAATTCCATCAAAGATCTCATAGACCAGTTCCAAGCCCTGGCTGTCACTGCACAACCTCAGCATTTCTAACTTCTAACTCCTCTTCTTTTACTACTAGATATCAACATGGCATCATGCAAGTTCCACCTCGCCACTCCTTTGACATGCCTAGAGCGCTGCCTGGGGAACTCAAAATAACCCAGTTTCAGAAGCAGAGAATATTATTCCTGTGGTGTGAACTCTGTTTTATCAAAGTCAGATTGCTGCCAGCACAAGCAATAAGCTATTGAGAGTTCAAATGCAGCACTGCTACACCTGGCCACACCATAATTACAAATATTCTTATTTTCCTTTTATTTTATCTCACCAAAGAACAATGTCACATGCTGTTCTGAGCAAGGCAGTGAATCTGCAGTGACAGAAAAGAGTGGAGAATGTGCTGTGGTTTGAGTAGGAAGAGTTAGAGTTCACCTGGGGATGTCTCAGAATACCAAAAGCATTCCTCACTGCTTCCCCACTTGTTATTTACTGCACCATAAACAAATATTAAAAGTTGTTCATATTAATTTTAAAATGCACAGCTTGAAATGCTTTGAGGCTGAAATGCTGATGTTACCAGAACTAGCTGGGGATCTGCCATGACTTCCTGCAAGACTAGGAGTTTACACAGAATATATCAAGATGATAAAACCTGGGAGCTGGACTATTTCTTCTCTGATGATTTGCAGACCACATTTACAGTACTTCTGAGATAATATGAAACAATTACTTACGCAGCAAAAGTAAAAATGCCAAGATGATGAGTGCAACCGCTGCTGGTGCCAGACCCACCGACTTCGCACCAACAAACTTCTCCTGGCACACGCCATCATCTGCACACTCACAAACACTCAGCTGCAGAGTCTGTGGCAGAGCACAGCTGACCCCTTGGAAATCCTTTATTAGCATGGGAACTTCAGTTCTGCCTGGCTTCAGGTTTTGTGGTACCAGCTGTACGCTGGTGTCTGAGGCAGAGGTGGAGGAAGGTTAAAGGAAAAAAAGAAAAAGAGACAAGAAGTGAGTAGAGAAAATTGACTCCTGTAACCTGACTAAAATACAACTGTTACAGTCTTCCAACAAATCCCCTTCAGTTAAGCCCAGCCAATGCAATGGAATTAAGTTTAATTAGCTGCTGCTACAGTACATGTGCTTTTATTTTTATCAAGTAATTCATGCTGGTAAGTGAGCAGCCATGACCACTTTCAGCCTCAGATAATTGTGAAATTTCACATGACCAGAGACTTAGCATGGAAGACAGCCCAATCACCTGTATAGCAACAACCATGTAAATCTGAATAGATACAGGCTGAACTTACAAAGAAACAGCTTCAGTCATGAGATTTATCTGTTACATGTCACAGAGATCAGGAGTCAACAAAACACCTGTTCCTGTCAAACATGTAAACATAAGCAAACATGGTCCAGCTGAGGGAAGGCAACACACCCCACAGGACATGTCTGGAGTTTTATAACCTTTAGAGAGAAGGGTGCAGAATGCAAATTATTGTCCTAATGCCTGACTCCATATAAAGGGCTGTTTTATTGGTCTCACTCAGCCAAACTGGCAGTTTGACTGGAATTAATAAATTATGACCTTAGGACTTCAAAGAACTGAGAGTAATTAAAAAGACATTTTCTTACCATTTCCAGAGGCAATTATCCATTTTGCTGCTGTTCCTTCTGGCTCATCAATGACAGTAAAGCTGAAGGGATAACTGTATGGGTAACCATCCAAATCATGAGCTGTAACATCAACTAATTTTGCATCTGAACACACAGTCTGCACAGGGTTCACAATAACTGGGCAGTTATCATTCTCATCTTTAACTTGAATGATGACTGTGCCAGTGACTGTTTTCCTTGGGGAATCTAAGAATTTGAAATATGAAAAATTAAATTGATTTGTGCACAAAAAATTATCTTAAAATAAAAAAAAAAACATAGCATTTTCCAAAACACCAACATTGCTGAAGTAAGTTGAAAGAACTTATGAGAGCTGTGCTTCATTCCCAATATTAATAAATATATTGACAAAGTTCTTCTGAAGAAGCTGCAAGCTGTTTTGTTACTTTAACTTGAAAAAAGAAATTCTGTATAGCTACACAGTAACATGCAGATTATAAATGAAGAATTAGGATATTAAATGAAAATTTAGGACAATGAAGTCTGATGATAGGCATACTGAGATATTGGCAATTCCCACCTTGACAACAGAGTTTCCTATCAGGCCTGTCTTTGAAAACTTTTATAAAAGTTCACCTCCATCTAGTCAAAAGGGAGAAACAGATGCCTTGGGAACCCATTCCAAAAAATGAGTTGCCTGTCTCTCCTGTGAATACCGAGACTGCACTTGGTGTCAAACCTTAGAGATGGGTAGGTTAAACCAACTACCCTTATAGACTGGCAAACAAACCAATTTGTGTGAAAACAAAACCCTCTCAACTTACCAGTAGTTACACCCAACATGGTGATAGTGTAGGTGCCATTTACCACATGAGGTGATTCGTAATCAAGATTTTTAGCAAGTCGGATTTCACCTGTCACCGGGTCTACTGTGATCCAGTTTGCCGCATCTTTTCCTTTCATGTAGCTGGTGAAAATCACACACAGATGGACACATTTATAATGAGGAAAACAGCCATCAGTAGAAAAACAAGCTCCACAGCATGTTTACTCGTCATTTAAAACAGAGATCAAATCCCTCAGTCTGAGGTCTGATGCTCCTGCCACTGTAATTGGTTACAACTATAAACCCACCCTGAATGCTGAGAGCTGCTTTTCTCTCTAGATCAAAGATTTAGGTAAGGGTGCATCACAGAAGATACAATCAGGGAGTGAGACCGGAGCAGGAGATGGAGCTGCACTGCTGAGCACCCTCCATCTGTGCTCCCAGCAAAAGCTGAGCATTAGACACCCTAGAAAAACTGTATTACAGGCATGAGGGAACGGGGTCCACCCCTGGGTGTGCAACTCTGCTGTGCACCATTTGTAAAGGCCATGGTGGTAGTTAAATTTAATCTAGCTGAAAAGTTGTGATTCAAAACCCAAGGACACACATGCAGACATATCTGTGTTACACCCTTTCTGCCTGGCTGATAAATGTTTTTGTATATTCCTTCCTAATTTTACTGGAGACAATGAAATCAGATTGGTAAATCTACTCTCAAAAGTAGACAGGTATGACAAACACACCACGCAAACACAGACAACTTCAGCACAAGCACATTTCACCATATATAACAAAAGAAGGAGGATTTTAATATCATCTGTTTTCTGCATAAGAGAATATTAAAGATGATGCTGATGTTTAAAGTGTGAATTATCCTTAGTAGGAAATTATTTTCTTTGAAATTATTTCAGTCCAACATACAAATTTTTACAATCAGATATGACTTCTGACATGCTCAGTTGTGATGGTAATAAAAAAATTCTTACGTAATGCGCTCTGCTATTTTTCCAGTGTCTTCATCATAGGCTTGATACTGTCCAATAACTTGTTTTATCTGCAGTTTCTCACTTGCTTCAATAATTTTTGTGCCACCAGGGAACACAGGACCTTCCTGCACATTGATCACCTTAATTTTGATCGGAATTGTTTTTGCTTTGTAACTGTGTTTAATTGACTTGTGGAACTCTGCTTTGTTTGTAACAACAACACCCAAGTTTAGGCTTTGCATTTTTTCATAATCCAGCTCCTAGAGCAATACAGAAAATAATAAAAAAAATTCAGAACTTGTCAGAATCCAGTATCTAGACAACATGCATACATTTAATACTTAAACAGTTCTATTTAAATAGCATCCTTATTTAAATAATAAGAATGTAAATATTTAATTAATATTTAAGCAGTAAGGGTGTTACAGTGAAAGGAAGTTTCTTAATCTGTTACTCTTGATCATTCTTAATGGATGACACCATAGGAATGGCTTTATATTATTGAATTAAACTAATTTAAGGTATCTAAAAGGAGTCCTAGCCATATATTCTGCATATGCCTTTAGTGAAACAGTCCTCAATTACCTGACTGCCTCAAATTTATGTTTTTTTTTTTTTAAAACCAAATCACTCAATAATGCTCAAAATTTGTTTTTAATAATTAGCAGTCTTCAGATAACAAAACTCAAGCAGGAAAAAAAAGATACTTAGGATATTATGCATCTTCAGTACTTGTGGACTAAAGAAAAGTGAAAACTGTAAAATAGACATTTCCACTAATGGAAAATAATTTCATCATCATTTCAGCTTACAAAAATTCATAAAATAGTCTGTAGCCCATGGCCTATGGAACAGGTGTTGCCTGCAACATTATCAGTGGCCAAGGGAAACAAAGAAATTTATACTGAGATCATCAAGGACAGCAGAAATGTGAAAGTTTAGAGCATGTTAGTACTTTTGCCCAAAGGGCAAGGAAAAGCTGGGGACTTCTAGTGTATAATATAACCTACTAGTTATATTTAGGATCACACAGAATACAAATGGAAAAAACTTCACAATATTAGTATTTTGCATGGAATTATTGAATGCATTAAAAATATGGCAAAGGAGGAGTATCCACATATTTTACATATTGACTGAATAAACAATTTGTCAGCACAGGTGGATAAAGTATTCTAATATTTAAAGTAAAATATCTAAAATGTATACTTACTTTCACAACAGTCAAAATCCCTTCATTTGTTTGGGCATCTGTTACAATTTGGAAAAAACCACCTTCATTGCCAGAAACAAATGTAAAGTTTGCCAGCCAGTTATCAGAAAACTCTTCATCTCTGTCAAATACTTTTATCCGCATAATTTCCACATTTGCCCTGTTTTCTTCAATGCTTCCTTCAAACTGTAGTAAAAAAAAAAATAAAAATCCACTCTTTAAAAAGATGTCATGGATTACCTCATTTAATCAATGCAAGAAGTTTTTGCACAGTGTCTTATTATGGGATACTGGCAGTTGGAGGAACATGCTAAAAATTGTGATAATTGTACTTACTGTATGACTTTCAACAATGGGTATATTGTCATTGACATCCAGAATCTTAATTTCTAAAGAACACGTTGCAGCATTCCCTCCTGTTTCACCACCACGGTCCTTTGCTTCCACCACCAAAGAATAGCTACTTTGTGTCTGTCATGGTAAGAAAAAGGTCTTTAATCCAGGCTAAAAATTAATTCTTTGCTATATTATCTCTATTACATTTTGGTAATGTCTCTTATGGTCAATTGTAACTCCTCTCTAGCTAGAAGTAAATCTCACACACAAGTAGCTTAATAGATTCTGCTGGGGTAGAACTGAGGCTTTGGAAGGGATATAGGATTTTCACATCTCCTCCACAAAGAATCAGACTGTACTTACATAGCAAAGTAAAAAATTCCAGTGGCCATGAGCAGGGACAGGACCAGTGACACCTGCATGTCAGGACATGGCCAGAGGCAGAGCCACATCCCTCAGCCACAGAGACAGCATTCCATCTGCTGGCCAGGGAAAACTCTGCAAGACCAGGTCATGTCCCTGGTAATATGTCTTTCAATGCAGCATCAGTAGCACCTGTCCTAACACTTTGAACCGCGATTTGCATGGCAGGCTACAAAAATCCAGATGCAACCAGCATCTTAGCAGGTGGTGATCTGGGTTATCTTTGCCATACACTCCCCAGCAGAAAGAAATGATGCCTTGATTTGTGTAATTGCTGCCCTGACTGCACAGGAGAGACAGGAAGCAACAATCATCAGGCTGATGCTGTGCAAGGGAGGTGATGGGGGATACAGCCCCAATCCCATTGCCTCCTCCCTCAATTCCTGAAAAGCATGCATCAACCAGACAAGGCTTTAATCCCAAGGAAAATTAAGAAAGGTGAGAGGGCCGGCTCTTCATCCTGCAGGCAGGGCTGAGGGTGACACAATGGGCACCAGAAAACCACTACTAACAAACACCAGAACTGGAGGGCTTTTTTACCTCTCTGTCAAGGTTTATTTTTGCTACTCGAACCTCGCCAGTATTCTTATCCATGCTGAATGCATCGCTAGGGCTTTGGGAAACAATCCTGAAAGCAATTTTGGAATTTAAATTATTTGGTTCATCTGCATCTGTTGCATTTATCCTCATTACAATTGTACCTGGAAAACACAATATGCACCACAATGTACTGGTAAGTATATCTACTGTAATGTCAAAGATAAGATCATTTTGTTAGATGCACTGCACAATTTTCTGATGCTCCTGACTTTATTTATTTAATGCATGAAATTGAAGAAGTGCTCTGAAGCCCAAAAGGTACATGTTAAAAGTATATGTTCTAGCCGTGAAAAAAACTGTATCCACACATCTGTAACTCACAGAATTCAATGCACAGATTAAACAACAGGTTAAATTTTCTCAGTAAATCTGACAGAAAATTATAGATACCACACAGAGCAGAAAACACAAGCTTTTGAACAAAGAGCTACATTTCTCTCACACATTATTCTAAAGAGAGCATTAATTATTCCTTTACCTGAACATTACTAAAACCACTGATCTGTTTTGATGCCTTCCAACAGCTTCACTCAATATACGTGGTGATACCCATGGTGCAATCCCCTTAACAATTTGCCAGGGGGTCTTGTTCTTTGGGAGAGGGTGTACTTCAGCATCCAGAGCCTAAGTTTTAACATTAGCTGGAATTCATGCCAAGAGCCATTACATATGGCTGCTATTGACTTGAAAAATTGCTGAGGTTACTCAATACCTCACCCAAGTGGATGGGCAAGAATTTGTTTCTTCAGATTATAGTGACATTAAAACAGACACATTGCCAGCTATTTATTAGGTCGTTTTATACCAGCTTTTCTAATCTTCTTGAAAATAATCTGTTGCTCTTATGTTTACTGATGTCAATAGGAAAATGGCCATTAACTTGTTCTTCAATGGTTATGGCACAGCCATTTTTGCTTACCAGCAAAGTACCTCTCCAGGTAACCTCTCCACAGACAAAGCAGGGCTTTGGATGAGGATGGCAGACTGAAATCCCTCCCAAACAGGCTGTGACTACTAGGCCAGAAGGCAGATTGCATTTCCTGTGCAATTCCTGCAGAAGAACTCTGGTCCCTGGATTTGTGGTAGCTCTGACAACAAACCAAAGGTTCCACAAGAGGGAATACTGCTCTCTCTTGCCCCTAGGGGGATGCTTTTCCTTAATCACACAACGCAGCCTAGCCTTGAATAAAAACCTTCATTCACACATGGATAACCTGGCTTATGTCAGCAAGAAAATGTGCCTGTTACTGCAGATATGCTGCTCCAAAGTGCACATTCACTTGTCCCCTTGCATATCTTGGGAAAAGCTAAAAGAAAAAAAAAATAAAGTTACCTGCTTCGCTTAATTCTTCAATTGAACCAACAAAAACTTCATGTGAAAACACTGGAAAATTGTCATTTATGTCCACAACTTTAATTGGGAGGTCTATTGGCTCTTCCAGTTTTGCCCCATTCTTATCTAGTGCGTGGCCTCGGACCTGATAACACAGAGAGAAATAATAAACCAATCCAATGAGTGACTGTCATATATACAAACACATATGCAAAACAGAAATACACCCATTATATATAACAAAGTATAAGTATTATAAAGGCTTATTATGTATACTTACAAATACAAGCAGGTATACACAAATAACCAGAAATGCATTATATATATGTATTATTTCAAGCAGACACATTTAAAGGAAATAAATAAAAAATGGATAGGAGGAAAAAGAAAAAATATAATTTTCAACTTACAAGAAGAATTGGAGTCTTTTCTCTGTCCACCCTTCCTGTTATGTTCAGGTCACCAGTCTTTCCATTGATAACAAATAATCCGTAAGGGGGTTCTGTTACTCCTTGACCAGATATAGTGTATGTTACTACTATTCCTGTATCTTCAAGATCTGAATGTATCTAGTAGGAATAAAACAAATTAAATACCACTTGGTAAATAAAATTACATTTAAAAGGGCAACAAAATATTTTTTCCATCTTGTAATGAACAAACACATTTCCCTAAGCTCCTTTGACTGTGGAGATGTAGAGAATGCAGGAAGGGCTGCATGTTCCGTTTGATAGTCTGGTGCAGGGAGATGAGAAACATCTGGATCCAGGAGTTGACCTGGGAGGTCAGACCTAAGCTAGCAAAAATACCAGGACTGGAGAAGGGATAGGGTGGAGGAAAAAAAGGTCAGACCTGGAGATGAACACATAGAAGAGGCTGCAGAGACTAGAGATTACACCCTTTCGCTGTTGTCAGCAGATATTTAAAACATCTGGAGAAGTGTGCATTGTGCCAGTATCACCATCAAGGGGCAGCCCAAGCAGAAGGAAACATCTTGCCACCACCTGCAGTCATTTTATATGCTGAAATGGCAGGAGTGGTGAATTTAGGTTTCAACACTGGCGCTGAACCAGACACATATCACTCTTTCACAAAGGGTAACACCATGGTTATTTTTAGCACTGTTTCCTAAATGACTAGGTATACATATTCATGCTTCTGCTCCATCACCACTAGCAGACCTGGGACCCACTTGTCAAGCTTAACTCCATCTGAGTATGGGTGGTGGAGAAAAAAAACCTCAAAGATACTGCATTCCCCAAAGCTTAATGAAAAATGGGGCTATGAAAAGATGAGTGACTGAGCCAAAGGAAACAGAAGGAAATGTGTCAATTTCCAAATGGCGTTCAATAGTCCTTTAAAGAAATATTTGTGCACATGTTTAGGGAAGCTACACTCTTATTTTACATTTTCATTTCTATTTTTATGTGTACTGCATATTAAAATGTTTTCTGAGCTTACTCTAGCAATTGGATTCTTATAGGAATTGTCCTCCTCTTCCCGTATGAAAGCTGGAGGGACTGTCCATTCTCGCTTCTGTCTGACTAGGCTGTTGGGATGAGACAAAACGCCACTCCTGTCATTTCGATTATAAACCTGTGAAAAGACAAGATGGAACGTCAGCATTACATTTAGTCATTTCAGATAAACGTTTTATTGCTGCTGTAGCCAAGACTTATGAGCAACTTTTGCTCTTTCAATAGCTAGTAACTTCAAAATCATGGAGCAGCACCACCCTTCTGAGTCACAGTCTGAGAGCTCTACAGTCCTCAAGCTGGTTGAAGAGGAAAACTGCACTGGTCTTTTCATCAATACAGAATTAGGCAAGACAGGCCTTAAAAGTATGAGCAAGTTTTCATGGACAGTGGCTGGTGAAAATGCACCTGCTCTGGAGGATTTAAATGTTTGTCATCAGATGTGGGAAGAAGTTTGGCACTAAGGCTGTTTTGAATCACCATTTCTGCCTTACCACTGTTTTATCTTCCCACCAATACTGCCTTGCATATTTAACCTTTTCTCTGAAACAATACATGGAGAGCAGGCCTCTGTTCAATTCACCCAATGTCTCTGCTATCCCCATTTAACTACACCTCATTTTCAATCTGCATGACACCCCTCATCCTTCTGTCCACTTTAGTTTCTACTGTCTCTGTTGACTCCCAGATTAACATATTCAATAAAACAGTGGTTTTTCATCTACTGGGTTCAAAAAATCAGTCTACATTTTTACTGTGTTAGGGGAAGTTTCTCAAAGTTCAATGCCACTCTAGATGATGGATGTAGGAATCTATTCACTTACTTTTCAGCTTTCATTTCTCTATTCATTATGCAGCTTTCACATTTCAGAAAATGGTAGAATTCAAGACATTTATCAACTGAAATAAGGCATGGCTTTGACATATTGCTCAGAGAACCCTTCCACAGGCACTGATAAAGAAAAATCTTTCCATTATATCCTACCTTCACGTAGAGCCCATGTCCATAATTCAAACAGATCTGCAATGGAAGTTATGATAGTCATTGTTAATTCCATGTCACTTCAGCAGTACTAAAACTTAACTTTTGCAACCTGCTTCATAAGAGCAGCAAAGCCACAAGGAAGAAGGCCTCTGACCTGTATATATTCATATTTATTATTTACCCATAACAGCTTCTGAAAAAATTCACCCATAACCATTGACATTAAAAACATACACTCTAACTACATAATAATTAAGTTTGGCACCTTTATCCTATAATTTCCAGATTATAAGCAATTAATAGTTTTTTTCTAATAAATTCAGACTTCACACTAGTTTTTAAACAACCATGGTTTTTAGTGCTGAATAATGCTTTAGTACTCCAAAACGATGAGGATGTGCCATTGATGGAAACAAGTGTTGCAGCACTTTGGAGAAGCTCCCTTTTCTGGGCAAGCCTTGGATTTGTGGCTGTGGTGGTCTACCAATCACACTAGAGAAGATAATCTGATAAATGGTGTTTAAAGGTAAGGACTAAACCCAAACATCTGCTGAAGTGTACATGACAGAAGCAGTTCTCTTACTCAGAACCTTGCTGGGAGGGATAAAGGGCATCACTTATTTAAACAAGGCAGAGGTGCTTGCCCTGACAAAACCTTACAGGCTAGCTGCAAAGTTCTAAATACTGAATATTCAGTACTGCCCACCTCTTTACACACCAGGATAGGCCAGGACAGCTATGCATGGCCTTGAATAGCTCAGTTAGGTGACAAACCCTGGGGGGAAGAAGCCCACTTATCAGAGACCCCATGTTTATGTCCACTCTCCAGGCACCAAAGATTCTGCAAGTAACAACACCTTCAAATTGCAAAAAAAATGTAGGTATTAGGAAGCAGCAACAATAAAAAGTAGGCTATTACAACATGAGAAACCTACAAATCAAGCTTTTGAACTTTTTACAAGCTGCAAATACTGTTACTGTTCTGAAAACTATTACTACTTATATTTTGCAACCTGGATGATTATTTTCTTAGGCATACTACTCCCTAAGGCAAAGCAGGCTCAGAAAATGTGGTTTTCTACTCAAATAAGTCAGTCTCTGACTGGTTTCTAGTCCGTTCACTGGGCTCTCCCTAGTCCTCCCTCTGACTCAGCCTTGATTACTGAATTGATAACAGCTTCTTTTTTTAAAAAAAAAAAAAGTTATCTTGAACCTACACAATCCAGCAGACTGTGTTGAGCAATACAGCAAATTTCTGTTTCAACTTGTTCAACAAAACTGTTTTTCAAATGGTATTTTTCCCAACGTATATATTCTGAAGACAAAAATTATCAAGCAGTAGGTTTCCTAATGGATATTCATCATGAACAGTACAGAATCTCACACCAAGCTGTTTTCATGGATGTTCTTAGTCTTACTTGATTTTACTAATTGTATGGATTTTCAAAATTTATTTTCATGGCTAATGAGATTATACCAGCAAGAGTGACAGGAGAATTTTGCTTCATAGTCAAGGTTTTCCACAGAAGCTGCTGCTCTTTTGGAAGGTGAATAATTGTCAAGATGTCATCCGAAACATCCTTGGTTGTTCTAACTGGTAAAGTGGAGGGAAAACTGTTTCTCAAAACTGAATGGAGACAAGAGGCACATGAAGTTTCATTGTATTGGAAACCCGAGAACCCAATATAAGCAAAAGTGTCTGAAGACCAAGAATAAGCAGATCTTCCACTGAGATGTGTGTCAAAAATGTGTAAAAAATTGCACTAGTCATTATAAAAAGAAAATATTTCATTAATAACTAAAAATCAATTTGTTTTTGTTTGCATGGTAGCAATGTCCTTCAAAACATTCTAGGTTAATGCTAAGGTAGTGAAAAAATACTTTTGCTCTGGTATTATTCAATATATAGTCCACAGGTAGCCTCATAAGGGACTTAGAAGATATCTACAGAAAATGTTTAAGAATGACAATTTATTTACAAGATCATAAATACAAGGAGAAAAAAATACTTAAAGGGATCCAGCCTTTTTACTGAAAATTTTTAAAGGTTCCAAAAATTTAAATTTTTAAAAAAGCACTTTTCAGTGACATTTTTTTCAAAGACAACTGAAATGTCAGAATTTACTGCCCATTGAACATGTGAATTTCCCCCTCCCCCCACTTTTTTTTTTTTTTTTTTTTTTTTTTTTTTTTTTTTTAGTATCTTACAGCTGTTAAATGGCTCAGAGCAGGGAAGCTCTGTCATTTGCTGTGGATCATAGCCTTGTCTCAAAAAACAAGACATCTACTGATAACACTTGTTGACCAGAGCTGAGAACACTTTGTCAGAAGAAAAGTGGATAGTTACAAGTAAAAAAAAAAAGTCTGAGCCCTGAAGTAATGAAATTGGAATGAAATACTAAAATACTATAGGAAAACAGCAGGAATAGGCAAGAAGGCATGGGAAAGAAGGGAGTGACTGCCAGGCTGCTCTTGCCCAAATCCTTGTTCATCAGTCAGGAAGTGACTAAAGGACAGATTTTCAACACAAAGCTCAGATTTAAGCTGTAAAGCTATAAAGACTGAGTAACCAAGAAGGTATGTGTCTGTATTTACTACATCATGAAACAGCAGTGCCTAGAAATGTGGTCTTCTCTGTGTGCTGTGTCTTAGATTTGGAGCTTGCATTCCTGTGAGTCAGTTTGGTGTTGAAGACAAGTGAAGACCTCAGAGAAGCAAGCAGGGGGGACCAACCAAGGCCACCTACTAGTACATCTTCTGGCCCTGAGAAAAAACAAACTACACCTAAATACTTCTGGACTACTGTTTATCCTGTTCTTAAAAATGAGGGATGGAGGTCCCTCAGCCTCACTAACTTAAGGGGAAGCCTAGGTAGTCCTACAGATGAAAAGGCTGTTAATTTTCATCTTCATTTTATTATCCTAATTTTTTGCTCCTTGCAAGTTGACCATATTGCTGCTTGCATGATGTTCAGAGTAAGGCACACAAACTTATGTATCCAAATGGAAGCTAAGTGCCTAAACTTTCATTATGACCAGCAGAAATACAGCCAATACCAACAGAGATCGGAGTGCTGTTCAACTCGTGTCCAAACCAGTGCATATTTATTTCTCTCTGAGCTCGACTGATTGTAAGCATGTGCAATTATGTACTGTAAACCCAACACAGGAGGATTTGTAGAGCAAAGCATCTGATGCAGAGAACCCAACACTACACAACTCATGTTCTGATGGATCCTTCAGACTAGAATGAGCTTGTTCCCACAGATCAAACATCTACAAGAAGATGGATGCATCTCCCAACATGGTTTCACCCAGGAGGGATACGAGTCACACACTCTTGAGATTTTCTTCAAAAGTACAGTCTGATTTAATCAAACAGGCGCACTCAGTATCCACTGCATCTCCTTATACCTTAACAGAAACTTAAACATCTACACTGAGATGTCTTAGCCTCAAAACTCATCTCCTTTGTCATTGTCAACAAAGTCATTGTATGGTGCAATTCCCTTTTCTCAATTCTCTTTTCTTCCACCCCTCATGTATCCGCAAACTTATCAAACATCTTACTGTTTTTTCTCACATACCAGTTCTTTAGTACCCCTTAAAACAACCATAAAACAGGATTTTGTGACTTTAGATTGCATTTTTTACTGGTCTGTAGTCTGTCCTGGATAGATTCCTTTTTTTTCTGAAATCTTGTATCAAAAGTAATGTACCACTTCAGTTCAATGGGATGAATAAAGTACTAGACCTTATATATTTCTCAGCTGCTTTCAGACCTCACCACAGCTGGGTTTTCCCTCATTTTGGGAACAATATTAAAATGTTGAATCAATCCACAGATGCTTGTAAATACTTTTACCACGTTTCAACATGTTACTGGCAACAGAAGCTAGATTGCTTTGAATTAGCTCACCTCTGCTCTTCATAAAATCAAACATCACCTTGTGATGGTTTTTATTTATCTTGTTTCTATGACTTCTGAAAATTAACTGCTACTGACTCTGACATTACAGCAGCGGTCTAATATATTTAGGCTGGATTTTTCTCATACCCAGCCTAAGTCTAACATCCCAATGAAGTACAATCTGAGGAAGACATCCAGAGAAAAGGTAAATTTTCCTACTCCCATAGTAAGATTCATACATCTCTGTCAACTATTCTTTTACTCAAATGCAGGAAATGTTCCAAGACTTCTTCTCTTGAAGACATGATGTCCACCCCCTTTAGAAATGACCGGGAAACCTCCCAGTCTAATAATCCTCGATAGCTGTGCCTGCCCAGCAGGCCCATGGCTCTGGGTGTGTGCCCTGGACATGCTCCAAGTCAAGCCCAACCCTTTGGGTGCACCAGCATTCAGCACAGCCAGACATTCCTGGAAAAGGGTCGAAGGCAGGGGCCTGGGGAAATCTGTCGTGACCTCTACAAGGTACCTAGGGATGATGATACAGGGAAGTAGCCTGCAGGCAGGGAGGGAGCACTGAGAGATACTTCCAGGAAAAACTTAGAGAGGAAGAACCTACCACTCCTGATGCTTCTAAGGTAGAAGATGCTTTGAGAAGACACTACTCTTAGACTAATTTTGTTTTTAAGTAGTTTCTTAAGATTCATAAGAAATAAATTACCCTACTCCAATACTCTCAAATAAGAAACTTGACTTTTTGCCACATGAATACCCAGAATAGAAAAAAAAACAACAAACCAAAATTTCAAAACCCAGCAGTGCCTCTCTTTCTATTCTGGCATCCTCCAACTAAGGACGGTTTATTCACTCTAATATTCTACCCAACAATGAGTCTTTTAGGCCAAACTGACTTGACTCTCAGTACGTCATATCCTGACCCATCCTTAGCTGAAACTGAGGAAAATGACGATAAAGAAAAATAATGTTCTTCAGCAAAAACTATCAGCATCCTGAGCCAGCACAAGCCCATCAAAATGGATGGTGGTGTGGCTTCAGGTATTGCAGACAGAGTATGTAAAAACTTTGGCACAAGTGGAACTCCACGTTTTCCATCGTTAATTGGGACAAAATGAGGATAAAACATTTTCCAACCAACCCCCAACCACTTGCTTTTACTTGCTGTGAAAACAGGTTTAACTGTTGCTGGCCAACTTATGCACAACCATACATCAGTATTAAAGCTATCAGGCAACAGGTCTCCAGATAACAAATCCGATTTTGCAGGTTCCCGAGCCCAGGGGACAAGGTCCCAAGCCCCAGCACCTTCCATTCAGTCCATGCAACAAGTCCTTACTGATCCCTGCCCGGCAGCTCCCGGCACAGCCCAGGGCACGGCCACCACCCTCACCATGGAGCGGCGGCAGCCCAACTTCCGCAGGGCATTCTGCCAACCTGGAAAGGTGAAAAGCAAAAGAAAATGCCGCAGATACAACGAAGAGTTTGCTCTAAACCAGGTAGAAAGAGCTAGAAAGCATCAGTCCAAATCCAACAAACCAAGTGTTTCGTTCTCAGTTTATTATGAGACAGTCTTTGCTTTCAGCTTGAGAAAGTATTCCATAGGATGGAAGATCTAAAGGCTGATGGCTGAAACACAGGGAGGGAAGGGCAGGACAAAGCCTGAAGTCTCCTGGATTATTAAGAATTTAGTGCAATTCTTCTAAGGCGATAAAGACTTCCAAACTTTTTGCTTCATCTTCCTGCTAGCGCTGTTCCCTCAGAATTGAAGTGCAATTTACTAGTATAGAGAGTATGTTGAACAGTAAGACGGCAACAATGTGAACTCCTCGCTGCCTTCCTGTTCCTCGCGGCGCCTCAGCAACCCCACCCATCCCAGATACCGCTCCTGCTGGGACTTCCTACCTCCACCTGCTTTCAGGTAGCAAAGGGAGATGGTTTTATCTAATTCCCAAAGAGAAAACCCATTCCCAGCCACACGCAGCCGGGCTGGGAGGGCTGCCGAGTCCCGACGGGAGCACCTCTCTCCGGCGGCCGCTCTCGGGACCCCCGCGGCTGCATCCCACAGCAGAGCAGCGCCCCGGTACCGAGGGAGTCCCGCGGCACAGCAGCACCCCACACTCACCAGCAGCACCCCACACTCACCAGCAGCGCCAGCAGCC